AGATAATGTCCCAATTCCTAACAGTTGAACGTTTACCTCCTGCCCTCATCCCAAACCTCTGCTGTCTGACATTATAGTCTGAACTTGTGTAAATTCAGCATATTTAGAGTCCATATACAAAGGATAGTGTGTGATATTGATCTCTTTGTTCTGGCTTATTTTACTTAACATAATGTCTTCTACACATTGAAAATGGCAGAATTTTCTGACCTTTGTTTGTTTTGAAGACAGGGTCTCACTCTCTAGCTCTAGTTGTCCTGGAACTCATTCTATAGACCTGGCTGACCTTGAACTCACAGAGATCCACCTACCTCCACCTACCATACCCAGGAGCTCTGGCGTTTTTAATGCCAAATAATGTTTTATTGTATAAATAAATACACTGCATATTAATATTCCATTCATTTGCTGATGGACGCTTAGGTTGTTCAGTGTCTTCGCTTTTACAAATGATGCTGCTGTAAGCACAGAAGCATAACATTTCTTTGACATACTGATTTCTTGCCCTTTGGGAGTGTACCCAGTAGTGGGATTACTGCATTTGCAGTTAGTATTTAAGGAAATTGTCAGTAAATGTTGTTCTTTGACATGTTTGTAGAATTATAGACAAGAGAATATATTTGAAACTGTTTTTGCTCTAGTATGACGAATTAGTCCCTGCTTCTCTAACAACAAAATATGGAGGCTTCTACATCAACACTGGCACTCTTCAGTTTCGCCAAGCTTCAGATACTGAAGAAGACGATATTACAGATAACCAAAAGCACAAGCCCAAGGTGAGTTTGACATCTCAGCAGTATGGAGAACATAAAATTAATATTGTATGCCTTCTGTTTTATTTTTTTTTTTTACATTTTTTGCTGTGCTGAAAATTGAGCCCAGGAGTTCTTGTATGCTAAATAAGCACTCTACTTCTAAGCTACACCACCAGACCAGGATTTTTTTTTATTATTATTATATGTGTATATATGAATGTGGGCATGTGTATGCCATACTTTTGAGAATTGGACTTCTCATTCCCCCATGAGCTCTGGGGATTGAACTTCAACCATTAGGCTTGCATGGCAAGTATTTTTACCTGCTGAGCCATCTTGCTGGCCCCCAGAAGTCGTCTTTTTTTTTTTTTTTTTGAGACCTTGTCTCACACTAGAGCCCTGGCTATAACTTACTGTGTAGATCAGGCTGACTTCAAACTCACAGAAATCCACCTGCCTTCTGATTGCAGGGGTTAAAGACCTGTGCCACCACACTTGGCCTCAGGTTAGACTTTTTGAGTATTATTTGTGCCACACCTATGAACATAAGGAAAAGTAAAATACTGTTGTTTGATGAAATTTTACTTAATTATATGTTTAAAATTATGTTGGTGTGGGCTGGGGATTTAGCTTAATTGTAGAGTGCGTACTTCCTATGCAGAAGGCCCTGGGTTTATTGCCACATTATTTAAAAGAAAAAAAACCCAAAACAAAACCCAAACATATAGTCTTTAATCCCAGCATTTGGGAGGCAGAGGCAAGTGGATCTTGAGTTCAAGGTCAGCCTAGTCTACATAGCCAGCCAGAGCTAGTGTGAGATATTGTCTCCAAAAATTAAAACAGCAAAACAGGCAAACAAACAAGTAAGTAGGATTTTCTGTCCAAGAGCCATTCATAGCCGTTAGCTTCCCTCATATCTAATTTGTGGTGACTTCTTTTGTTGTACTGTAGCTGAGAAATGAATATTGTCCACAGGTGTTTCCTCTGTGGGGTCAAAGACTTTATGTGTACCAGAATCACTAAAATCGCTACTTAAAATGTAAACTCTAAGGCCCAGTGAACTGCATCCAAGTCACGGTTGAGAGGCTGGTGAGATGGCTCAGTTGGTAGAGTTTGCACCATTGCATGAGGAACTGAGTTTTCCCAATGCCTATCTAAAAGCCTATCGTGGTAGCACACACCTGTAATCCAAACACTGGCGAGGCACAGACAGAAGGATATCTGGGCTTGCCCACAAGCCAGTCTAGCTTAATTGGTGAGCTCCATGTTCACTGAGAAGCCTGTGTGAAGTACTGTGGAGAACAATGAAGAAGGCACCCAGTGACTCCCTCTGGTTCACATGCATCTGGACTCCCACACCTAAACACATACACAACAGTAGCAACAAAACATAGGCAAGAGTGCTCATCGACCCCAAGAACCTATACTTTCAGCAAGAAATTCTAAAAGACCCCTGCCTTAGATGCTGTATTGCTAACATCAAAGAGGAAAATATTGATACTTGGATAAATGATATATTCTCTTTTCATTTTTCAGGTTCCCAAAATAAAAGAAGATGATATTGAGGTAAAGAAGCGGAAGCGGAAAGAGGAAGGGGAAAAAGAGAAGAAGCCAAGGAAAAAAGTTCCCAAACAGCTGGGGTATGCTAAATTAAGCCTGATAGGAAATTAGTACCACAATATTATGGTTTCCTTTTAGAAATATATATTCACCACTAATGTATTTAGTTGTCTAATTTGATAATGACCTACTGCATTTTAATAATATTATGGTGCTATTAATAAGCAGGAGGCTTTGTCATCTTAGAGATGTATAGTATTTCAGATTGCACTTAAAGATTTTTCATTGACTATCTTGTTTATTACAACTTTATTTATTTAACTAGTTTTGTTTATTTTATGTGTATGAATGTCTTGCCTGTATGTGGGGTGTGTGTATGTGTGTGTGTGTGTGTGTGTGTGTGTGTGTGTGTGTGTGTGTGTGTGTATACACACATGTGTTTCTGGTGCCCTTGAAGATTAGAAGAAGCATTATATCCTGTAGAACTGGAGTTACAGACAGTTGTGAGTCACCATGTGGGTGCTGGGAATCAAACTTGGGTCCTCTGCAAGAGCAACCAGTGCTCTTGACCACTAAGCCATAGCTCCAGCCCCTAATCTTAAAGAACCAGCTTAAGCCAGAAGTGGTGGCACAAATCTGTATTTCTAAGACTTGGAGGTTAAAGCAGGAGTTCAAGGACATCCTAAGCTATGTAAGGAGTTTGAGGCCAGCATGGGCTATGTGAAACCCTGCCATATCATCCAGAAGATGTTGAAGAAGGTGCTATCATGAAAATATAATTTAATACGAAACTAAAAAGACTATTTTATTCTTCCATCTCCCACATGATTATTTTAATTATTTTAGATTTTAATTATTTTACTCATTTACGTAGGGGATTAACTTTTAAAATAACACAGCCTAACCAGTCTCTTTTCCTTCACAGAGTTGTGGCTCTCAATTCACACAAGTCTGAAAAAAAGAAGAAGCGATATAAAGATTCCCTTTCTCTGGCTGCCATGATACGAAAATTTCAAAAAGAAAAGGATGCATTGAAGAAGGAGTCTAGCCCTAAAGTCCCTGTGACCCTATCAACTTCCTCTCTGACTAAACCCTCTTGTGCTGCCACAGCCCTGGGGGATGATATCCCAGACTTAAGTCTGAACAGTGCTGATCCAGACCTCCCTATTTTTGTTAGCACAAATGAACACGAATTGTTTCAAGAAGCTGAAAATGCCCTAGAAATGCTAGATGACTTTGACTTTGACAGATTACTGGATGCTGCTTCTGATGGTAGCCCCCTCTCTGAGTCAGGGGGAGAAAATGGAAACACCACCCAGCCCACCTTCAGCTCTCAGGTTATGCCCAAGGTGGTACCTACACTTCCAGATGGCCTACCTGTGCTCCTTGAGAAACGCATTGAGGACCTTCGTGTAGTAAGTGTAATGATGATCTTGGTTTTTATTCACTGCACAAACATGTAGTTTAAAGTTTTAAGACAAAACAATCCACAGTCCCAACAACTTATTTCCATAGCCTCTTGTAGACATTGGCTGTATATACATACATAAGTGTTTTTATTGAAATTTAAATAGCTCTAGTTATAACATGGATATACTGTACACTTGATTTTTTTATTCTTCTCGTGCTGGGGATAGAACCTAATGCTGTAAGCACGTTAGACAATAACTCTACCACCGAACCACATTCTAAGCTCTGTAGCTGGTTCTGTTTTGCTTCAGTTTACCTTATAGAGTTTTCTTCATATTTGGTTATTATGTGTGTGTGTGTGTGTGTGTGTGTGTGTGTGTGTGTGTGTGTGTG